AGTGGAAATCCAGTTGTCAGATGTCACGATGCATCCGAAGGGGACCCCAGCGCCGGCATCATCCGTAGAGGCACGAGTGTTCGAAGAGAGAGTGGACCTGAGCAACAACATGACCTGTAGGCAAATGATCGGAGTGGGAGTCAGAAATGTGGTCCTTGCGCGAGGGGAGCTCGATAGACTCGAGGGGCCAGGATACGCCGCGAGGAGGACGGAGTTGCGCCGACAGGCGAAAGAAGCCGCGAGAACAAGGGACCGGCAGGTGGCGGCGTCGCAGGACGAGGCAGAAGAGAACGACGCGACAGAGGAGGAAGTGACAAGGGAGAGAACGACGAGGGTGGGACGACCGCGAGGTGGCATGAAGGTTGCAGCGAGAATCGGCGAGAGACTGCGAAGAGAGATAGGAAGAGGCAGACTCCCTAGGGTAGGCGACGGATAGCGCACCACACACCTCTCCTTAAAATCCCTGTGTGGTGGCGGCGTGCCGTCCTCCCATCCCTCCCTTGGGTTGTCTGTTTTCTTTCTTTCTTTTTTGAGCACTGGATAGGGCGCTCCCAGCCACACCGACTTACTCGGGAGCGTGTTGACGGCGCCACATACCTCCATAACTACTCGGAGGGCGGCATGTCGTGGCCCGCCTCCCGCCCTTGAGGGCGTCGAGACGGGGCCGACCGCGTCTGCCGTAATGAACGGCGGCGAGTGAGGTCGACCCTCGCCCATACCTCCATCCACGGCCATGCGACACGCGGAAGAAAGCTGAACGGGAGCCTAGGGTCGGTCGGCAGCAGCCCGCCACCTGCAGGCTGCTGCTCGACCGCCCTGGAATCAAAGGCGGGGATGCCTCAACCTCTCGTCTGGCCCACTGAATGTATGTCGCCCGTACCCGGCCGCTGCTCCCGGCAGTAGCACGAATCCGGTTGACTGTCCATCCGGACATTTGAAAGTATCAACTCGCACTCGGTCCCCGCTCCCGGCAGGAACACGAGTACGAGCCAGTTGGGTTCCGCTCCCGGCAGGACCAACAGCTGAAGATACTCTCGTCTCCCACGCTCGGTCCCTGAGACCAGTTACACGAGCGCGAGAGTCAGCCGGGCCCCGCTCCCGGCAGGACCACAGCTGAATTCAGCGAGCGTACAGGCTCGAGGTGGCATCGCCTCCTGATCCGCAGCGGTTGCGTCGCTACGAGTAGTACGCTCGCGGTTCACCACCCTGCACCGAGCAGAGCGCGGATCCAGAGCATATTTCATATAGATCCGCAAGGCAAACCACGGCGACCATCCCGCTGACCACAGCAGTCCATACTGTGGCCACGGCCTCGCGTCGTTGCTTCGACGCGCTGTCTGCAGAGCCCGTCAATACAAAATCCCCGTCAAGCGCAGACCCGTCTGAAGCCGCTGCTGACGCACAGCCGGCGGGTCAATCAGACACTGGGTGCTGGCCGTCGATGGGCTGAAGTGTGGGTTGCAGGGACAGCGCGCGAGGAACTGAAGCAGAATGCATCGGTCTGGGTCCTATCGACGCCAGACTCGACCATATGCCGACTACCTGCCTCCATTGCGGAGGTAGGCGAGGATGGACTGCCACTTGGCATCTGTCCAAGTCTGGGGAACCGCACTGGCATCAAAGATAGTGCCAGAGAGGCGCCCCGAACCACTGCAACGGTAACGACACTGGCATAGCTCGCCGGATTGTTGGCCTCGCAATGGCGACCCACCATCGAGGCGTCAGCGGCCGAGCAATATCGCAGATGCTGTCGCGTAGGCCGGCCGGGACCACATCGGTGAGCTGACCCAGCAGAACCTCGACGACAACAGACATTCAACGCACACCAGTTACTTTGACTGTGCGCTGACTCACGCGTCCCCGCGCCCGTAGAGGAAGCGAGGCAGTCGAAAGACGAGCGCGGTGCCGTCAACGACGACACTCGGCTCGGCTGCACCCACCGCCACCACGGCAATCGCACCGACAAAAACGATAAACGTAGAGAACCGCAGGAAAGCATGGCACCGCACGCGCCAGCAAGGCACGAATGACGTCTGAGCGAAGCCAAGCCTCTCTGCGACTGTATCTGAAGGCGCGGTAGCGGTAGACGGGCAAGCCACAGCTGGCAAGATGCCGATCGCCATTGACCTTGCTCGAGCCGCGGCGAGCCCTGAAAGTGGAGCGTGTCAGGATCGATTGCTCGGCTGTGAACTGACCTCGCTGTGAATGTGACCGCCGTCACAGACACTATTGTCCATGAATGGTAGACTGAGAGTAGAGTAGAATCGGGTCGAGCGACCGGCCCAGTCGACCGGCCCCTCCCCTCAGCAGAGCGGGCGAGAATCCTAAAGGATTCACGCCTCTGCCAGTCCCAGGCGAGGCCTGGTTGGTCCTCCCGGATGGCCTCCCACCGCATCGGCGCCCGCGTCGCGGGCCTCTCGCCAGCGCAGCTGTGCGCCATCATCGAGGCGCAGGCGGGCGCGAGCGACGCCGCGCTGCGCGTGGCGGAGGAGCACGCCGCACGGCTCGTGGAGCAGCCCGAGTGGGTGCTCTCCGAGGTCCTCCTCTCGCCGGACCTCGCCCCGCACATCCTCGCCCATCTGCCGACCAAGGAGCACGCCGCCAAGGGGACGTGCCGCGCGTGGCGCCGCGGCTGGAAGGAGACGCTGAAGAAGCGCGAGAGGCCGCGCCTGGTCGTGATCGGCGGCCGCGGTGAGGAGAACGACGAGTTTGTCAACTCGCTGGAGCGGTACGACCCGTCAACGAATGAGTGGGATGAGGAGGCTGTGGCGCCGCTGCCGTCGGCACGAAAGCGTCCTGGTATGGCGGAGCTCGATGGCAAGCTCTACGCGGTGGGCGGCATTGACGGCGCAACTCGGTGGAGCGGTACGACTTTGCTACGAATTCAAGTGAGACTGTGGCGCCGCTGGCAGAGGCGCGGTATGATCTCGCTGTCGGAGTGCTCCACGGCAAGCTGTACGCTGTGGGCGGCTTCTGTGACGACGGCTTCCTCAGCTCGGTGGAGCGGTACGATCCCGCGACGAACGCGTGGGAGGCGGTGGCGCCGATGGCGGCGGCGCGGAGCGACCATGGCGTGGCAGTGCTCGACGGCAAGCTGTACGCCGCGGGCGGCTTGAACGACGACGAGGGCTGGCTCAGCTCGGTGGAGCGGTACGACCCGGCGTTGAACGCGTGGGAGGCGGTGGCGCCGATGGCGGAGGCGCGGCAGTCTCACGGGGTGGCGGTGCTCGACGGCAAGCTGTACGCGGTGGGAGGCTCCACCAACTCGGTGGAGCGATACGACCCGGCGACAAATGCGTGGGAGGCTGTGGCGCCGCTGACGCTGGCTCGCTTCGGTGCCGGGGCGGCGGCGCTGGAAGGCAAGTTGTACGCTGTGGGCGGCAGGGTTGAGGAGGACGAGGATGAGGTTGACAGGCCGGCTCACTCGGTCGAGCGGTTCGACCCGGCCTCGAACGCCTGGGAGGAGGTGGTGCCGATGGCGACGGCGCGGGCCTTTCCTTTCGCGCTCCTGATGTAGAACGGGGCATAGGCGAGCTGTGAGCTGTGATGTTCATAAAAAACGAGCCCCCCGCCGCTGCCTCGGCAGCCAGCCGGACTGCACACTCGCGAGCGAGCATTTTATGCCCCGCCCCGAGCGTTCCGATCGCCGGTTCGCCGCGGCGCGCCTGGACTGCCGCCCGGCCTTCGGCAGCGCGCCATCGCTCTCCGGCAGCGCGTCCGCGCCGAGGCGCGGGCTCGTCCGCGCGGCTCGCGCCGCGGGATGGAGCGGGTGGAGCGGCCGCAGGCGTCCGCAGCTCCCGCCGATCCCCCGCTTTATACGGATCTTACGCCGCCTGTAACCTCTCTTTAAGGTATTGCTAAAAATCTCTCTCTCAGACATCCCGCACACCCGCCGCCCACGCGCGCGCCCCAAGTTGTCCTTCCAACGCCGGCGCTTCTTAATTATTTTTATCTTGCTGTGTGTGAGACCCACTCTCGTCGTTCTCCCTCCGGTCGCTTCATCCTCTGTCTCGTCGTTTCCTCTGCCTCGTTCAGCGACGACGCCGCCGCCTATCCCTTGCTCTCTCGGCTTCTCCCGCCTCTTTACGCAACTCCGCCCTCCTCGCGGCGTATTTAGGTAGTTTGGCCCCTCGAGTTTATCGAGAGCTATCCTCACGCGAGCCGTCACACATTGGCTGCCGGGGTGTGCCGAGGGGGGGCTGGGTGGGCGGTAAGCCGTCATTGCCCGGCGCTGCTTGCAGCGCTCTGGGTGGTAGTGGCGGCGCTCCAAGAGTGGTGCTCTTGGGAAGAGGTTCCTCCTTTCCGCTCCCCCCCCGCAAGGCGCGAGACACACACGCAAGAACGACTCTTCTGACACCCACTCCGATCATTTGCCGCCAAGTCATGTCGTTGCTCAGGTCCACTCTCGTTTCGAACACTTGTACCTCCACCGATGATCCGATGATGTTGGTGCTGGGGTCCCCTTCGCCGTGCCCAGTGTCCGTGCGAGGGAGCTATGTGTAAAATTCTGAGTGAACAAATCTGCTTGCCGGGAGTGGGCGTGCGCGCAAAGGCGGTGCGGTGCGGTGCGGTGCGGTGCGGTGCGTGCGTGTGTGTGTGTGTGTGTGTGTGTGTGTGTGTGTGTGTGTGTGTGTGTGTGTGTGTGTGTGTGTGTGTGTGTGTGTGTGTGTGTGTGTGTGTGTGTGTGTGTGTGTGTGTGTGTGTGTGTGTGTGTGTATGTGTGTGTGTGTGTGTGTGTGTGTGTGTGTGTGTGTGTGTGACTGCGACAAGGGACCCCTCCTGTTTCTTATTAACAACAAAGGCGCACTAAAAAAGAAAAAAGTGTTTACGGCGTCTGACGGGGAAAAAATGACAGGTATCGGCGCTGCAGTCCTATGCCGATGCCAAGGTCTGTGGAGAGAGCTTGCGGCTCACACGTCGAAGCGTGGACGCACGCTCTCGCTCGCCTGACGCGCTCGCCGCACACCGTGTCGCAGCCTGCGGCGCCGCATGTCGTACTGATGATGGCAGACGACCTCGGCGTCGGTGACACAATTTCTCTTGCTCGCTTGCCCGCGCTTGGGCGGCTCGCCGAGGAGGGGACCATCTGGCGGCGCGCGTACCAGGCCGGCGTCACGTGCAGCCCGAGCCGCGCAGGCATGTTGACTGGCCGGAATCCCGCGCACTACCAGACGTGGGGCAGCAAGGCGCCGTACGAGGAGCCTACCATCACCGGCCTCCTCTCCGCCGCCGGGTACGCAGTTGGCCACTTCGGGAAGTGGCACATACGGGGCTCGCCCTCTTCGTGGCAGCGCCACAATGCCAGCGCCGCAATGGGGATGCACGTCGTGCTGAGCAAGCGGGCCGAGCTGGCTTGCATCGCTCGGCACACGAAGAGGCCCGCGAGCCGTCCGATGCCTCGCCTCAACCCCCTCCATCGCTGCAACGCGTCGGACACCTTCTGCACTGCGGCCGCCTTCCTCGAGGCGACGCACCGCCACCGCCCAGTCTATCTCAACGTGTGGCCGCGGACGCCGCACGACCCTGTCTTCCACTGCGAGCCGTGGGCGGTCAAATCGAGGCGGCCCTACGCCGCCGCCTGGCTGCCCGACGCCGCCCGGACCGACCCCTTTCTGCACGCGCGCCTCGCCCTCGCCGCGCGCGGGCTCGGGGTCGACACGCGCCAGGCTGTCGAGATCTACGCACGCGCGCTCGAGGGGCTCGACGCCGACGTCGGCGCGCTGCTCGCCGCTCTTGACTGGCTCCGCATCGCCGATTCAGCCATCGTAGCCTTCACCTCGGACCACGGACCCTCCTACCCGGACGAGATTGTCGGCCGCTCGAGCCCGTTCAACATGGGCTCGACGGGTGGGCTCCGCGGCGGGAAGGGGAGTGTCTACGAGGGCGGGAGCCGCGTGCCCTTTCTGCTGCGCTGGCCTGGCCACGTGCCTGCCGGCCGCGCCGCCACCGCCAGCGAGGTGTGATGCGCTCCGACCGCCTACGGCCTACCTACCCCCCCTCTCCCAGCTCCTCCCGGAGCGCACTCTCTGCCCCCAGGCCCTCTCCGGCCTCGACTGGCTCCCCACCATCCGCGCGGCGTGCGGCCCGCGGTGCTCCGAGTCGGGCGCCGCCGCCCCCTCGGCCGCCGCCTCCGTCGCGCGGCTGGGCGACGGTCAGTCCGCGCTCTCGCTCTGGCGGGGCGAGGGGGTCGCGGCTCGCCGCCGCCCTCCCCTCTTCTGGGCGCCGCTCGGCTTGGACTACCGCCTCGGGGACGAGTGCGGCCCGTTTGTCGCGGTGGGTGGCGCGTGGAAGGCGGTGGGGTCTAAATTATGGAGGAAAGGGTGATTAGATTTGAATTCATTAGGTGGATGGCGCGTGGAAGGCCGTGGTCTACTCGACCAACGCGAGCTTGCGGAGGGCGGGCCGGCCGGAGAGGTGCTCTAGGCCGGCCGGGAGAGGGCCAGGGCTCGAGGTCGGGTGGGAGCCGCTCGTGACGAGGGTCGCCTTTGGCGGGGCCGTCCCCGCCGCCGAGCCGCTCGGCGACGGCGCGCTCGCGGAGCTGTACCACCTCGGCGCCGACCCGCGGGAGGGCGCCAACGCCCTCTCCGACCCCTCGCTGCGGCAGAGCGCCGCCTCCGTGCTGCGTCGCCTGCGCGCGCTCGTCGGCGCGTGGGCGAGCGGCCTGCCCTGGCCACCGAACTGCCGCCCGCCGCCGTGCCTCCTGCACGGCCGCCACGCCGCCGCCTCCGACGCGCTCGCCGGCGGCCGGCGCCGTGGCTATGCTGGCCGCAGCCACACACCGCCTGGGGGGGCACGCTACGCCTCCTTTGCCGAGCGGGAGTTGGCGTGGGCGCACCTCGCGGTCAGCCGCGGTGGTAAGGGCGGGGCGGGCTGGCCAAACAAGTCGCTGCCTGAGTGCGCGTACGCGGCCCGCGCCTGGCGACGAGCGGTCTAGCCCCATGTTTTCGTCCTAGGAACGTGAAATCTCGGGGGACGCGACCCACTTCGCCACAGACGGTCCCACGCCTCGCCACTACGGCACTACACGACCGGCACCGCGGCTCGGTGTGACGACTGACGTGTGTGCTGTGTGTTAGGGGGTAGACAGCGCCCCAAAATCCACCCTGTGGGATTTCGCGCAATCGCTTGACTCTGAAAAGCTCGCATGTACCTCCTGCGAGTGCTGTGGTCGCCGCAGACTGGCTCGGACTTGACGGGCGCATGGAGACGTGATGGCTGATGCCTGCATGCGCCCGTCATGTCGAAATCGACATGTGAGTCGATCTTTGGCCCGCCAGAGGTACATGCGGCGTTTTGGGCGACAACAGCGCTGCGACCGCGAAGTGGCGGTGGACATGCTCCCACGTTGCCGACGCGGCGCCGGAGTGGCCGGCGCTGCTCGCCGCGACCACGACGGCTACTCTGATACTCCGGGCCGACCCGTCCTACCCGACGGTGGCACTCTTCCACGTCTCGCTCACGCTGAGAAAAATTCTGAAACGGCGTGCAGCAGAGTCACCGACGAGTCGGTCCGCGTGACTCCTCATGTCCCGCACCGTTCTCACACATCCATAAACTCACTTTGGCCTCACTGAAGCAAGCCCTCAATCCTGAATCCTCAGATTTTAGATTAGGACGCTGTCTACCCCCTATGTGTGTGCGTGACCGTGAGCGTGTTAGTAGGAAGCCGTCTTTGTCCGGAGTGAAAAGTCCAACGCGCTCGTCGGTGAACGGTGTCGGAGTGTCCAACCTATCTTTATCCCCAAAGTGCGCCGCGCTCGGCGAACCTCGACAGCGCCTTCGAGGTGGCATGCAGCACGTGCGGGTGCGCGTTCGCAGGGAAAGGGCCGTAAATTAAACACGGGTCTCCACTGTGAGAGTCGTGATTTCTTGTTGGTTAATAAACCTACTGTCTGAATACGTTTTCCACGTATTCCAAATGACCTCCCAGAGGCCTGTATTCCACCCGTATTCCACCCGTATTCCACGTATTCCATGGAATACGCCGTATTCCAAGCTCCAAAAATGGACGTATTCCGTATAAAATTTTCTTCGCTCCGCGAATTCAGACAGTAGGTTAATAAATCTCTCTCTCTCTCTCTCTCTCTCTCTCTCTCTCTCTCTCTCTCTCTCTCTCTCTCTCTCTCTCTCTCTCTCTCTCTCTCTCTCTCTCTCTCTCTCTCTCTCTCTCTCTCTCTCTCTCTCTCTCTCCCCCCCCCCTTCTGTATTAAAAAGAAAAATAGGAACGCCGCAGGTGCGCCACGCCTAGTGTGCAGATCTTAAATGCGTGCAAATGTACCCACTAAAAAACCGAGCACTTTTCGAAGGTGCCCACCCGATGCGCGACAGCTGCGCTTTCCGTACGGATAGCCCCCGGGAGCGCCTCAACAGACAACACGGAATCGACATCAGCCGCGCACGGCGCGCTCGCAGTACGGCTGCGCTTGGGCAGCGGCGCACCGTCAAGCATCGGATCGTTCGAGCGCTTCTCCTTGGTGTAGACCATCGCACCCAACTTCTCGAAATCGTCCCAATGCGTAGCCATGAACCGCTCCAGCCTGGGACATCTTGACGCCATCGTGCGCCGCCTTAGTGTGGCCCCCCCGAGCTGGCGCGGCCGAGGGTGCGGTTGAGGGATTATGATGTATCTTATTCCGGGGCCCGTGTGCGGGGAGCGAACCTTAGCGACCGCCCAGAAGCTTTCTGAGCGAACCAATCGGGCCAGGATCATCAGCATATGTCCCCTCCACAACATCGTGGGCGTTTGAGCGGTATTTGAGGAGCACCGCCACTCTGAAGTTCGGCCGGGTGGTCTGCAGACCCCCCCCCCCCGGAGCAGCAGAGGCTCCGTGGGGTCGAAAAGTCGACGCTGGGAGTCGCAATCGTCAAACCGTCGCAACACCACGCGGTACGCACGTACCGCCCACATCCCCTCCACCGCTGAGCAGGCGCAGATCGACCGCCGGGCCGCGTAGCCGTCGTTAAGGAGCGGTTTTTGGAGCCGTACGAAGAGGTCCCAGACGGGCGAAGATGCGGTTTTTCGACGACCACACGCGATTTGGTATCTGGTTTTTGCTAAAAACGGGCCGCCTAGTGCAGCATCACTAGTACAACACGCAACCACACTGATAGCTCCACACTGGCCGGTATAGGCGAGAACCGACGGCGTCACGGTCGCCGGAGTGGACGCACTGCACACACACTGTGACCGTGTCGACGGTGTGACAGTGAGCTGACACAATCGTCGGCGCCGCGCTATCGCGGCGCCCCGCAGTCTACACGCCTCAGACGCACCCCTGAACGCGCCATGGGCGCGCAGATACACCGCAGCGCCGAGGAGAATCCACACCTGGCCGGTCCCGAGCCCCGTCCTGGGCCTCCAGGCGGTCGAAGATCGGCGTTCGGGCGGGATGAACTTGTCGGAAATGGAGCAAACTTGGCGCGGCTCGCCGCTCGCGGTACCGGGTGAGCCTGGATAGGGCAAAATCTGGGGTGAATACGAGGGACAGAGGTCGCAAGTTTGTCGCGCAAGTTTGCGCGGCGTGGCGCTGCCCCGCTGCCGAGGGCGCCACCAACCCGTGGCGGCGGCATTTCCAGCCCAAATTGGGCGTTCCGTGCGCCTTGCCGGCGAGAGTGGACGGGCTGTGCATCGTGGGGGGGGTGAGTGGGAGGGAGGTGGTCGTGTGCCTACTTTGTCGGCCGCGCGCGAGGAGAATTCTGGGCATGTTTTGCGAGTATATGGGACACGATGTCTCAAATATGAGAGGTTTTGACTCCTACCGGCTCCTGACGCTATCCCTGGCAGCTCTAATGACCAGGATCAGTAGTGCTATGATAGAGGGTGCCCATACTAGCGCAGGAGCTGCCACACTCGCCCGGACCGGCTCCCTCTGGGGCCGGTTCCGCAGCCCGTGAGAGCCGACAGCGGGGCCGTGCCGCGGGTGCCTACTGCCGAGTGCCACAAACACTGCGCCGTCCCGCCATCACCTACAGGCTGTCTTGTGTGATGGTTGGGATGTCCAAACGCCACCATCTTGGCTCTTGCGACCTCAAACCCGCGAGCTGTATGGGTGGTCCTGACGTCGACAGACGCCCGATGACCACGGTGAAGCTGAGCCGTAACGAGTCGACAAGTCTCGTCTGAGCCCGTGGCGGTCGCCGGCTGAGTCGCTGTGCACGGGCCGGTACCTCAGGCGCCACCTCCGCAGCCTCAGGTCTCACACTCCATCACCTCCGACGGGACGCCGTCGGTGGCACGCTCGGCGGCGAGTTTGTGGCAGCCCCACAGCGAGCGCGGCGTCGAGCCTAATCGATCTGGTCGGTCGGCCGCACTCCCTGGGTTCCAGGGAGTGCGGCCGACACGCGAGCGGTGCTTCCTTGCAGCGCGCGCCAGCTGTGGGGCTGCAACAAACTCGAGACACGCTTTTTGGGACATTTTCGACGCTTTTGTCCCATATACTCGCAAAACATGCCTCTGGGTGTGAGGCGCGCAGGAGGCGAGGGTGGGCGCGCCGGCGGTCGAGCCGCCGAACAATTCGACGTGGCGCAGCTCCGTGCCGGCGGGGACGACCAAGCACATGATGTCGGCGGCGGTCGCGCGACGAGCGAGAGCCGCAGGGGCCCTCTGAGAGCCAGGCGCCGAAAAGCAGCGTGAGCGGCGGCCGCGATCAGCCACCTGTGGGCGGTCACAGGGGTCGCGGTCAAGCTCGCGACGGGGTAAATCTGGTGCGTCTAGTATCACTGGTGGGCTGGGTGTGCAGCAGCGGCGCTCAAAAAGAGGGAAAAAACTCGGCAACTGTTTTGAGTGTCTACTCTTTCGGCGCACCGTGCTCGGCCTCGCTGAAAAGCTGGCTGGTGGTCGCGCGCAGCGCGTCAGCGCCACTCCGACTGGTTGGGCACCTCGGCTGGGTCCATCAGCAAGAGGCCCGCGCCGTCGGGCGGCCCCGGGAGCGCATGATGCCCCTCCGAGAGGCGCTGACGCCCCGCCGAGATCGCGCTGGTTTGGCACGAAAAACACGAGCCGCCCAGGGGGGGGTCCGAATAAGTTACATCATAGGGTGTCACTCCCGCGAAACCCGTGAACTAGCCGGGGCAGTCGGAGAAGGGGCAACTCCGTGCACTGACGGTCGGCCGTCAGAAAACACGCCTCCGTGGCTCGGGTTACACCAATCCTCGCTACCCAACGCGGCCAAAGGATATCCACCTCGAGAACCTCGAGAACCTCGAGAGAACCTCGAGAACCTCGAGACAGAGCGAGCTATTAAATTGGCGCGGCGTGCGTGAGCGAGATGCAAGCCGTCGTCGGCTGCAGCAATGAGCAGCGAAATTCTCCTCTGCGCTGGCCAAATTTAAGGCGCAGCAAGAGAAACCGAAGAAAAAGTGCCCCAACGATTTCACGCAGCTGTCAAATCTGCCACCGCCAGTCTTCACGCGGGTCGCTTGGCTGCACGTCCCGAAGACTTCGTCCGGCTTCGCCAACGTGCTCTTCCGCGCCGCGTGCCGGCTCCAGACGCCGAAGCCGTTCCTCGAGGTCGTCCAAGTGCAATGTCTCATCGCCGACCATTGTCCAAAGACCTTTGTTCAATTTGATTGGGGCCACAAGTCGCTGCGCTCGCTGCGACCGGGCATGATGGCCGTCACGTTGTTGCGCGAGCCGTGGCAACGCGCGGTCTCGGGTTTCTTCCACAACCTGCACTCGTGCCGCTGGATGCAGGCCCGCTACAACATGACCGGCAACCGGCCGCGCGCGGGCACCTCGCCCTTTTACAAGAGCTTCACCGACGACGACGTCAAGACGTATGCTGACTGCGTGAGCGCTTGCTCGGTGCGGATGACCACCGGCCGCCTCTGCTCGGTGCCGATGCGCAACCGCGGCGTCGACCAAGCCGCGCTCGCGTCGTCGTGGCGTTTGGTCAAGGCCGCCAACGAGACCCTGCGCCGCTTCGCCTTCGTCGGCATTACGGACGAATACGAGCGGACGCTCAAGGCCTTTGCCGCGATGTCGAAGACGCCGCTCATCGAGAGCGACTTCAAAGTGATGCGCAAGGGCGTCAAGCCGGAGCGCGACCTCGAACGCGTCGAGGCGATCGTGAGGAGCCGTAGGCACGTCGACGACGAGCTGTACGCGACCGCGAAGCAGATTCTCGCGCTCGAGGAGGTGGGCCAGTGGCCGCCGGCCGCCGCCGGCAAGTATCAAGCCACTGGAACTGGAGGTGCAGGTGGTGCTGGCGCTGGCGCTGGCGGCTTCCTGAGCGATATCGCGTCGATCGGCGTTCGCGGGCCCAGCCTCGCCATCGCTGCGGCGACGGGCACGGGCGCGGCGGCCGCGGCGGCGGGAAGGTGGGTGGTTGGATCATGATGAGAGAATACGAAAGAGCCGGGGGGGAATATGGCTTTTTAGCTACCCCCAAGATGGCGCAGCATTTTTGAGAGAGGTGCGGAGCGGCTGTGCGGACAGCGGAAAGCAGGTGCCACTCGCTGCGGAGATATCAACGAATTTTGATCAACGCTCGTGCGGATGGTTCCAATGGCGCGTGGGGCTCCTGCCCGTGTCCGGGTGTGGAGATGCGCGAGGGTCGGCCCCCTGCCCCACCACTTTGTGTGTGTGGAGAAATTTACCTTACCTTACCTTACCTGTTCATGATAATAAAAAACGATACAGGCCCCCGCCGCTATGGCGGCTTGCGCTGGGTGATGTCCTGGTCCACGGCAAAAGACGGCGCCAGGAAGACCATGACGCCACCCACGCGCAGCGGTATGACGCCGTGGTAGGCGGTGCGCGGCACGCCCGCCTTGAGGTCCTCCATGATGCCCAGCTGCTTGCAGAAGCCCAGCAGCACCTTTGGCGTCGAGTAGCGCACCACCACGTCGCCTCCGCCGCTCGCGGTGAAGGAGCGGTCGATGACTCTGCGCAGCTCCACCTCGCGCGCCGCGGCGACCCGCGCGGCAAACGGAGGGTCGTACGCGGCCTTGAGCAGAAAGCTGAGATTGCGGCCGGCCCAGGCGGGGGCGGCCTGGTCGGAGAACTGGATGGGCGCCAGAAACTTGATGTAGAACTGGGAGAGAGACGTCCCCTTCTGCCCAAACGTGCGCGAGCGGCTCGTCTCGGGCCGTATCGACGCGCGGCCCTGCCGCTGCGGCGGCTCTCGCATCCAGTCGTCCCAGAAGCCGCGCTCCTCAGGCCAGCCGGCGCCAATCTCGGCCCACAGCCGCCGTGTGAGCAGCCAGCCGAGGCCGGGGAAGAAATCGGAGCGGTAGAGGGCGGACGTGTCGGAGGAGTAGCGCGGCTGGCCGTTGTCGTTGAAGGCGGAGACGGCGAGGAGGGTGTCGTCCTATTCGTCATCAGCCAACGAGTTATGATACTAACGGTGAAGAATCAACGGCTGATAGCGGCGAGGGTTGTCGTCCTGGTAGAGGAGGGGCGCGGTGGCGTTGAAGTAGTCGAAAAAGTCGGGCGCAACCTCGATGTCCTCCTCGAGAATGATCACCCCCTCGTAGCGCGCCGCGTCGGCGAACAGCGTGCGCAGCGCCCACCCGTAGTGTACCGACAGGTACGCGTACCCCGGCGCCTTTTTCAGAAACTTCTCGGCGCGCGACAGGTCGAGCTGCCGGCGCGGGTGGACCAGCCGCCGCGCCCCGTGCTTGGCGATGACTCGCGCGACCTCGTCGTTCTCCCCGTCCTGCGACACGTACACTGGCCAGTTCGCGCCGCCCGGATGCCTCAACATCACCGAGCCGAGCGCGCGGTCGAGGTAGGAGGCGCGGTTGTACGCGATGACCAGGACGGCGATGCGAGGCGGCGTCAGCGCGCCCGGCGTCCAGTCCACGTACGCCACCAGGTCGCGCCGCGCCAGCTTTGGAGGCCGCGCCGCCCCCGGGTCGGCCGCCGCCGCCGCGGAGCCCGCCGCCGCCGCCGCCGGCTCCGGCAGGAGGAGGTCGGCGCGCCCCTTTTGGCCGCGTGCGCTGCTGAGCTTCTGGAGCATCCGCGCCTGCTGGTCGAGCGACTTTTGCAGCTGGTCCATTACGCGCTGCAGCTCGCGGTCCTTCTCGTCGGCGAGCTGCTGCAGCCGCTGGTCGCACGCCGCGGAGAAGTAGAGCCGGGCGTTGAAACTGAGCATCAGCAGGATGAGCGCCGATGCGACCGCCAGCACGGCGGTGCTCGTCGTCAGCCGCGGCTCCCGGCTCGAGCCCGGAGAGCGGCGCATCGATGACGTCGATCGCTTGCAGGCGCGCGCTGTTTTCTCTTTTGTTGTAAGATTCTCTTTACTCGAGTACCGGCTGGCCTGGCCTGACTGTTGTTCATCTTTCTACCTACCTACCTACCTGGGCGTGCGCAACCTTGCTTGCACTCTGCACTTTGCACAAGTCGCGCTCACTGGCGCATATTCTCGCCAGAATAGTGCCTCCGCGGCGCTGCGGCGGCGCCCGAAAGGCCGATCCGACCCGGCAGCCTCCCGGAGCGTGCACCCAATGAGTGTGTGTGTGTGTGTGTGTGAAAAAAAAACCGCCAATGGCAGTTACCAGTTGTGCGGCCGTCGCCGCGGCTTCGTCTCTGCCGCGGCGGCTGCTGCGCGCACGCGGCGGCGCCGCTCTCTCACGAGACGGCTGGCGACGCGGCTCGCCGCCGACGTACGCTGCGCTCGTCCGACCGACCGCGGCGTGGCGTGCGCGGCGCTGCGTGCCGCTCTGCGAGCGCTTCTGCGCTGCTATCACCCTGCACTGTCTCTCTCTGGTGCTGCTGGTGGTGGTGATGGTGATGCTGCTGGTGCAGATGCTGCTGCTGGCGCGGCGCGGAACTGCGACTGGGCTCGACGCGCGCGTCGCGAGCAT